GTGGAAAGAGAACAACTGAGGGAACTATCAACAGAGTATGTTTTTGCATAGGTTATTTTTGAGAGAGAGTAGAATATGCATATCTGAATCACCCTAGACAGTGATCATCTTATTAACTAGGATGACAGGCATGTACCACCATATCCAGTTTTTATTGGTTGAAACAGGGCTTCTTAAACTTTTTGTCTGGGCTGGCCTCAAACCATGATCCTCCCCTTCTCTGCTTTCTAAGTAGCTAGGATTACAGGTGTGAACCACCATATATGGCTATCTTCATTTTTATAAAGCAATGTATATAATACAAAATGTGACAAGGAGATTCCACAGAAAATGCAAAAAGAGAGAGGGGTTAGAAGAAAATCCTGCTTTGGGTATCCTATGGAACATAATTTCTCCATCACTGCTGGCATATATAAATTTCTTTTTGAACTGGATTAGATTCCATTTCATCCTGCACACATGTGTTCAAATAAAAACACTACATACATAAAATGCATTCTTATATTACATGCATTCATACATGTGCCAATGAGAATAGGATTATTAAAGATAGATATAAGATACCATAAGTGACTGAGGCAGAGACACAAGGATGCACAAGTGCTCCCTGGGGCAAGCACACCACTTTCATAATTTAATTCCTGACAGGTAAATGGTAAAGGTTATATACCAGACGAGGAAAGCAAAAGGCCAGTTTTTTTTGGGGGGGGGGAGGGGGGAGTTCAGTCATGGGGCCTGAACTCTGGGCCTGGGCGCTGTCCCTCAGCTCTTCAGCTCAAGGCTAGCGTTCTACCACTTGAGCTATAGTGCCATTTCCAGCTATTTTCTTTTTGCTTATGTGGTGCTGGGGAATTGAACCCAGGGCCTCAGGCATGCAAGGCAAGTGCTCTACCACTGAGCCACCTTCCCGGCCCCAAAAGGACAGTTTTTTAAAGTAGTGTATTTAAAACCAAATTACAGAAAGCTGCATGGCCTCTGAAATTCAGAAGGTCTAAGACTTCTCTTATGCAGAAACACTAAGACCTTGTTTGAGACTCCCAGTAGGTCAGATTGCATGCACGTGTGTGGGTGTGCACACATGCGCATGTGTGTACACACACGCACACACACATGCACACACACACACACAATTGCCATCATGAAATGAAATCAGGTCACAGGAAGGCCAGGGAAAATAACTTACTTGAAAAAAAGGTTTTTTGTTTTGTTTTTTTAAAGACATGAAACAATAAATCTACTAAAAGCATCTGCACCTCTATCCCTGCAGATCTTACATAAGAGTTTGACCTGTCTTATACACAGACAATAAACAACAGAAAACAAATGTGCATAACCCATAATTGGTTGTGAATAATATTTAAAGAACAAATGTTATTCTAGTCCCTATGTCAATTACAGTTCTGTTATCTTTCTCTTCTTGATCTTGAAATAATTGCTTAATGTTTAACATTGAGGAAGAAATCTCTTCAGCCACAGAAACATGCATTGGAAACCTATTAAGCAATTAACCCAGGTGGGAAAATAAACACCTTCATGAAGCAGCAAGAGTAACACCAAGAGGCATGGTACAGCATAAATACCATTACAGAAGAGAAAATGATTTTTAGTAAAGAAAGAAATGATAATAAAAATCTCCTTACAGGGGTGATTGATAGTTTTAGACACATCATGATTAGGGTGATAATAATACTGATACCACTTTTTATGATTGTTACTATTTATTTGTGTGTGTGTGTACCAATCCTGGGGCTTGAAATCAAGGCCTGGGCACTGTCCTTGAGTTTTTTTTTGTTTTTTTTTTTTTGTCAAGGCCAGCACTCTACCAATTGAGCCACAGCACCACTTCTAGCTTTTTGGTGGTTTATTGTAGATAAGAGTCTCATAGCCTTTCCTGCCCCAGGCTGGCTTTGAACCATGATCCTCAGTGATGGGAATTTGCTTTGTTCTCATAACTCCATGATCCCCTCCCTCCCTTCCCCCTCACCCCCCCACAGCCCAATTTTTCTTATATATCCAAAGATCCTATATGAAGGACTTGCCTCTCCCCTCTTGGCCCAATCATTTTATGTATCTAAAGATGGAATATGAAGGATTGACTCCCATCCTATTGTCCCAGGCCCATACAGATACCAGGCAAAATCCCAGGTGTGTGGGCTTGTTTGAAGAGCAGGCAGGGCAATCTACCTAAGCCCAGCTGTAAACATCCCATTGTGGGCTCAACTGAAAGGCCCCCACCTGCCTTGACCTGGTGGCTTTCTCATTAACCTCTGCCTCCTTGCTTGGACCTCCTATAAAAACCTGGCTCCTGTCCCAACTCTCTGGACAACCTCCAAACCCGCAGAAAGGTCTGTGCCCCTTACTGTTCCTCAATAAACACTCCTTGCCTGTTGATGATTGAGTACAGCTTATTCCTTTTCCATTCTCCTCCATTTTCCTAACACTCAGAGCTCAGCCTGAGTAGCTAGAATCACAGATGTGAGCCAGCACCCAGCTGTTTTTTTTATTACCACCATTATTATTACTACTACTACTACCAGTACTGGGTCTTGAACTCAGGGCCTGGATCCCTTAGCTTTTTCACTGAAGGCTATAGTGCTCCACTAGCTACTACTTGAGCCACACCTTTACTTCTGGCTTTTTGGTGGTTAGTGGGACCAAAGAGTATCACAGACTTTCCTGCCTGGACTGGCTTCAAACTTTGGTCCTCAGATCTCAGCCTCCTGAGTAGCTAGTAGTAGATAGACATGAGCCACCAGTGTCCAGTGATACTACCTTATTCTGAACAAGTGCTTAATATATACTTTGGTATTTGGTATCAACTTTATGAAATGCACAATTAACAAGCTAAAAAGATAAGGTGAAGTTCAGAAAGGTTGTACATGGGCATAAAGAGAGACCAAGATTTCAGGTGCTATCTCTTGAAAGACCATTTGATAAAGAGTAAGTTGATCAACGCAGTCATGTAATGTGTACATATGGGGAATGTATGCAGACATTCAAATGCAAGGAGCAGTTAGGATGAGTTAGGTGCAGTGCCAATACTTAAGGAATCAAAAGTAAATAATATACATCAGACTACAGCACTGAAACCTGCTTCTCTCCACAGAAATATTCTTAACTTGCACCAAGCTCCTCTTTGCATAAAACACTGACATTTTCATGGTGTTTGGGAGCCTGCTGCTGGCTTCAAAAAGCTCTGGCACAATACCATGCTGTCACTATAACAGCCCTCCAGTGAGCTATCAAAAACCCAACTAGAACATTTTGAATATAGCAGTTTGCTTGCCACCAAAACACTAAATTGAAATATTTTTATTTATCTCTATTTAAATTTTAGTAATGCTACATAAATGTTTACATGGTCTTATGCTAATAAAATCATGAAGAAGTCTTAATAATACAACATATTGGAACTACCTTTGGGTAAATTATGGTTTGCTATTGGCCCAATATATGTATCTCAAGTCTCTCAATCGCCCTTAACTAGGATATGGTATGAAAATGCTCTTCTGTTTCCTATGTAATGTATGTATTTCCAAAAGCAGTGTCAAGGGCTGTTTAACACAATCTGCTTATATTGAAGTTAGAGAGAAATTACTCTGGAGTAAGGTAAGAATTTACAAAAAGTTTAGAGAGGTTAATGTTTGATTCATTTCTGACATGAAAAGCCTCTGTAAGTTCTCTATGAGAAGAACCTGGACTTCCCTAGGCCTGAGACTATAGCTATTAATAGAGGAACTGAGATTTTCCACCTTTCCTGGAGCTGCCCTGGAGGCTGTCTAGAGAACAACAAGGGCTTGAAGCTCAAGGCCAACAATGATAGGGATATAAAAGCCTTCAATATTCTTAGTCACTCATCAAAGAACAATTTTTCTGGCCTTCCTAGCTCTGACTTCATTTTACTATGAAAAGATGTTGAACTCTTTCAATATGTAAAAGCATTACTTTCAGATTCTGGATAAACAAAGATCTTAAGTATAGATAAAAACCAAAGAAAATATTTTCAAACAAAACCCACAATGGTAAATGCGTTCAGAGTAACATTCTAAACCTCAATCTAAACCAAGGCAATTCTAGTAGCTACCACTCTATTCTTGCAGCCAGAACCATAATATCTGTACCTATTTTTACTGGTACAAATAGTCCTAAGAAGATTTTCAAAAATGTGAAGAACTTTAGAAATTCAATGGAGCAAATATAGCATGAAGATATCCTAACTTTTTAGGATGAGAAAATTTGTGGGCACCATTTTTTTTTTTTTTTGGTCAGTCATGGGGCTTGAACTTTGGGCCTGGGTGCTGTCCCTCAGCAATTCAGCTTGAGGTGAGCGCTCTACTACTTGAGCCACAGTGCCACTTCTAGTATTCTAGTCGTTAACTGGAGATAAGAGTCACAGACTTTCCTTTCTGGGCTGGCTTTGAACCACGATCCTCAGATCTCAGCCTCCTGAGTAACTAGGATTACAGGCATGAGCCACCAGCACCCAGCTACATCTATTTTTTAAAAAAATATTTGTCTTCCCGCTCTAGGCAGATCAGTCTTCTAGAACAAGCTAGACTAACTGAAATTCCAAAGAAACCGCAGTCTAGAAAAAACAATAACCTGTCTGCATGTTGATTGGCTCCAGACAACTGGGGAAAGATACATTCCTCTCAAAAGGCCTTCCTTGGTTAGGCTTATCATTTATTCATCACTAGATGTAGCTTTACTGTCAAAAGGGTCAATTTTTAAGATCTTATTCCTTTCCCTCCTCCAATCTGTGGCTGGGCTTTTTGTAGGCTTTTACTAAAACTGAGTATCACCTCAGATTGGTTATTAAATGTCCATACATGTAAAATGGAGGGAGCAGACTGTGATAGATGGTGATAGCATCCTCTCTAAAGACAGAACCAAATTCCAGTTTCACTTGTCCATCACTCTATTGAGTAGAGATGGGCAAAAGTGGAAGCATAACCTTATCAAGTCAATTAGGCCCACAGGAATCCATCCATGATACTCACCTGGAAAAGGCAGCCCCCAGCACAAATGCAGCATACTCCTTCACCATGGGCTCTGTGCTGTTTAGCCCATTGATCACCACTTGAAGACCACCAAAGGAGAGCAGGTCCTGGGCATTATCCATCTGCAACAAAGGCATTGCTTAGCACAAAAGAGACATCAAGAAAAGAAGAGCCATTTGAACAGCTTTGCTTCTGGTGACTATCCAAACACAGATTTAAAAGTCAAGTAAAAAAGCAATTGGGGTCCTTCTAATTAAATAGGAAAGAATATATAAAAACAAGATAAACTTCAATGTAAGCTTAAATTTGAGAACTCCTAATTCATCTAAAGTAAATTATGAGGACCTAAGTGAGAATCAGTGGAAATGGCACCTGGATATTGCTTATGCCAATCATGTCTTGGAAAATTCCAATAATGTAATGAGTCACAAAAATTACTCCAAACATACAAGCTGTTAACACAAAGAATCTGGCATAATGAGCTCCATTAAGCAATACCATACTACCTGTTTATGTCCAAACACAATAGGGACAGTGGAAGTAAAAGACTTCTTTAAAGTTGATTTTTAATTAGAAGCAGGACTATAAAAGGAGCAGATACCTAGAAGAACAACAATATTACCTTTCTTTTTCTAAGATTGACTGAATCTGAGGACATTCACGATAAAATCTGAACAAAAGTCCCTATCAAAGGCTTTAGTCTATATAGGTCTGTGTTATTGGCTAGTGACTACATATCAGAAAAGCAGAGTATTTCTACCATCCTGTAATTTGTAAGTGACTTTAATATATTTAAACAATAAATCTAAGTGATCATAAAGATCTCATTACAAAGAAATCAATACTAAATTATGTGGAGTTCATTTTTTTATTTTTGTGGGTGTTTCTCTTTTTGTTCTTTCTTTTTTTCTTTTTTGGCATTAGTGGAATTTGAATGTTAAGGCCTTGTGCTAGCTAGGAAAGTGCTTTACTCCTTGAGCCACACTCATATCCCTTTTGCCACTAGTTATTTTTCCAGTAGGATTTTGCACTTAAAAAAAAAGACTTTTATGTGTGTATCTTTCTTTTTTGGTGATGATGATTGAACCCGGGGACTAAAGCATAATAGGCCAGCACTTTGCAACTGAAGATATAACCTAACCCAGACTCTTGTACTTTTGCCCAGGTGGACCAATAGACACAATCCTCCTACTTCTACCTCCAGCACAGCTGGGATTACAGGAGTTCACCACCTAACTAGCCCTGTTTTTGTTTTTCTGTTTTGTTTTGAGGCAATGTCTTGCCATGTGTAACTTAGATTGGCCTTGAACAATAGTTCTCTCCCAAGAGCTGAGATTACAGGTATATACCACCACACCTAACTTATATCTTACCAAACCTTTCTCCTTTGACTTATAATGACCTGTTGATTTTTGTGGCATTTAGACTTAAAACAGTACTAATTAATTTGTTATATTTTAACAGTATTAATATTTTTCTAATTATTATATGTGTGAAAAATCAGAAACCCATTCTCTATTTCTCTGTCTCTCTTTGTCACTACAAAGGTATCTCTTGTTTACATATTTATCCCACTCTACAGTTTCTCAGGAAAACTCTGGAAGCCAGAGCTCAATATCAGTATGACGTCTATTCACCTTTTTCCCTCTACAACTATGGAGTCATTTCCTAGCTCACTATGTTCTTGCCTCTGCTTCCAAACTGGAAGTGAGTTCTGATAGAGAAATCAAGTGTGAAGCCCAGTATCTGAACTTGTTCATGTTTTATGGTGGACCCACTCTATTTTAACTACTTGGAGGAAAAAGGTATTTTTATAAGAATACATTAGTTGTATAGGAAAGATTTCATTGTGACATGTCATACATTATTGACTGTATCTTGATCAACCTCACTCCCAGTTGCTTTCATTGAGGTTCCTTAGGCTATGAAAGAAAAGTTTTGTACATTTTCATAAAGTCTCTACAAGAGGAAAGGTTTTTGTCTGTTTATCCACTGTTGTAGGTCCAAAGATTAGGAAGCTGAGTATAGAGTTAGGTTCTCAAAAATTATTGGATAAAAATGAATCCAAAAAAATGTTACTAAAATAGAACTCAACTATGAAATTTTAGAAAGCAATCTAGGATATCTGTGAAAACAAAACAAATGGGCCCCTGGTACTACAGACTTGAAAAAATAGCAACTGAGGCTGTAAAGTTATTACGAAATCTAGACTGCCATGTGGCCTGAGGCTGTGCCCTTGTAGAGAAATGACTATTGAGCCATAACATAGCTAAGTAGGAAGACTCCAAATTGGTATTTTGCTCTTATAAACATGCTCTGATTTTTAAAATATATGAATTTGTTGCTTATCCTTTGAGCTTCCTTACTCAGATACAAAACCATGACTCAGAATCCAAAACCTGGGATAGACCCTTATCAAACAAAATTGGTATGACTTCCTGGAAGAGCAGTTCACTCTCTTCAGTCTCAAGGCAACATAACCTATAGTCACAGAGGTTCAGTTATCTATATTACTACAACAATCATTTGATGTGATATAAACGGTGGTATTTATATAAGCATTGTAGCCTTACAAGATGTTCTTGCATTTATTTATTTCACTGGCAGTGAGAAAGTAAAAAGTCATTCTGACTCACTGCACACTAAAAGCTGGGTCCTTCTCAGGATCACATAGGAGACACACCACCAGAGCCCAGCTTCTCCTCTTCTGGGTCTAGGTCTAGAATTATCCCAGGTTGTCTTCAGGATGGGGTGAGACAGTGAGAATGCATTATGTAGGATGAAGAAACTATGTCAACACTCAGGAGGAAAAGAAATGAACCAGACAATGAGAAAACAGAAGACACAGAAAGGGAGAAAGGAGGGTAAATAATTGAGGAGTCACAGAGGGAAGGCAAATATACTGTTCAAGGGCAGATGAGGCATACAGACGCTGTTTCTCATAAATAACTCCCAAAAGATTTTTCTTTTCACATATCCTGTTTTAATAATTAAAATATTGCTGTGAGGAATCCTTGGGCAGACCCAGTTTAGGTCCTTAAAACCCATGGCTCCTTAATCCTCCATTCAGTATGACTAGAATGGGAATGGACTAAGAAGTTCCTGTAGAAAAGTGTTATCTTTCTCAAAGTCAATAGTACATTACCTCAATTCCACATCACAACTGTAAACTAAGTTGAGTTGTGTCTCCTGGAATCTCTCCATGAAATTATAACTTCTCACTGCTAAATGATAGCTTAAAGCTAAAGTTAAGGACTTTAGACAATCAAAATGACAGTGACCTAGAACATTTATGACCCTCTACCAGCAGAATGTTTTAGACCTAGACCAGCAAATGGTTCTATTATGACCTCAGCCTAAACTGGTGATATCTAGAAAACAGTTTACCCCATCCAGTGATCTGTGAAAGCAGAATGAATGTCACCCTATAGATGTACTGCCAGGTGAAAGAGGTATCGGAGCAAAGGAAGAACCTCTGTTGGGTTACTGTTAGTCCAAGCCTATTTTGTATTTATTCCTATCTACATCTGATAAGCTCTCTGGTCATTTTGGCCTTTCATGTGCAACTAAAGCAAGAGCCCATAGAAACCTGACACCTAAAGACCCATCTAACTATGTTAAGATGAAAAAATAATAATAATAAAAGCTGTCAACATCAGAGCATAACTGAGCTTAGCCAATAATTCCTAAGATCCTTAATTCTTTAAATATCTCTAATGGGAAAGCTGTGGGAGAGTTTGTTTTTTTCACCATAGGTGGAAAAATTGGAAAGGGGCAAGAGAACCCAGATTTTTTTCTCTAAGAGGATCACAGTCCTGCTATTTGAGGCTTAAGAGTTATAAGCAGGGAAAGATGAAGAGGCTGCCTCAATTCCTGCAGATACAGTGCACACTTGGGCTCTTTGACCACATAAGCCAGCAAAATCCTTAATAAAGAAAAAATGTCTTTTAGCTTAGTTTACAGATGTTCTCGTGTTTGGGAGGACAGTGAAAGTCTATGCCTAGATGAAGATCTCAAACAAGCTTTTGATTATGATTATGCAGCCTCCTGAGCCACCACTGCCCCTAGTTTGTACTGCTTCAATAGCTTCCTGCGTGGTTTCCGCTTCTAACCCAGGCCTCACACCTCCAGTCTAATTCTCAACACAACAGCAATCAGATAATGTCCTCCAATTACACTTTGTCAGGGTCTACGGTCTACAAGTTCTCCACGTTCTTCATCCCAACATCTCTGAGTTTCATCTGCATCTTCTCTACCCTGTCAGCTTCAGCCACACTGATATTCCTTGAACATTCTACAGTGACTTCCTCAAACACTCTATACATGCTTCCAACTCAGAGTTTGCTGCTCCCTCTGCCCAAGATACCGTCTCAACAAAATCAATTCTGATTCTGCTCTCCTTTTTTTATTTTTATTTTTCTACTATTTGTCACTTTTCAAATATATTGTTCATAATTTACTTAGTTGGTTTGTTTACCTGTCTGCGTTTGGTAGAAGGTAAGCTCCAATTTTGTTTATAGACATAAGTCAAGCATCTGGAACAGTGCCTGGGACTTAGCAGGCATTCAAAAATTCAAAATTTATTCATTTATTTATTGGAGCCTCCTTATTGCCGATCTACTTAAAAGGTACCAGTTTTCTGAGAGAAGCAGACTAGTCAAAAGTTTAAAAGCGGGCTGGGAAGGTGGCTCAGTGGTAGAGCGTTTGCCTTGCATGCATGAGGCCCTGGGTTCGATTCCTCAGCACCACATAAGCAAAAAGAAAAAAGCCAGAAGTGGTACTATGGCTCAAGTGGTAGAGCACTAGCCTTGAGCTGAAGAGCTGAGGGAAAGTGCCCAGGCCCAGAGTTCAGGCCCCACGACCGGACCCAAAAAAAAAAAAGTTTAAAAGCTCAGAGTTAATTGTTGCATATCCTAGCTCTATCTCATTTACTAGCTGATTAGTAAAATTTTGTTGTTGTTGTTCTAGAGCTTCAACTCAGGGCCTTGAGCTTTCTTTCGTTCAACTGGCTGATTAATCTTAAGAAATCACTAATCTCTCTGTTCTACATTTTCCTCAGTTTAAAAATGTGATTAGCCAGGCACTGGTGGCTCATGCTTATAATCCTACCTACTCAGGAGACTGAGATCTGAGGATCATGGTTCAAAAAGCCAGTCTGGACAGGAAAGTCCATGAGACTCATCTCTAATTAACCCCCAGGAAACCAGAAGAGGAGCCATGGCTCAAAGTGGTACAGTGCTAGCCTTGAGCAAAAGAGCTCAGAGACAGCACTGAAGCCCAAAGTTCAAACCCCACAACTGACAAAAACTTAAAAAATTTTTTTTAATGTGATTAGCTAGGAATGGTGACTCTACACCCAAGTTATGCAGGAAATTAAAGCAGGAGAATCCTTTGAAACTAGGAATTTGAGACAAGCCTGGGCAACACAGTAAGACCTTTCATCCCTAGAAGTGTGTGTGTGTGCGTGTGTGTGCGTGTGTGTGCGCGCGTGCGCGCGTGCGTGCGTGTGTGTGTCTAGTACTGGTCTTTACTCAAAAGGCAGCTATAGAAGTTAATGAAGCTGTGCCTGGTATCAAAAAATGTTCAATAGGGGGCTGGGAAGGTGGCTCAGTGGTAGAGCGCTTGCCTTGCATGCCTGAGTCCCTGGGTTCAATTCCTCAGCACCATATAAGCAAAAAGAAAAAAGCCAGAAGTGGCGCTGTGGCTCAAGTGGTAGAGCGCTAGCCTTGAGCTGAAGAGCTGAGGGACAGAGCCCAGGCCCAGAGTTCAGGCCCCACGACCAGACCCCAAAAAAAAAAAAAAAAAAAAAAAAAAAAAAAAAAAAAATGTTCAATAAATTATTGGCTACTAGAAGTCTAATCAGTTACTTTCCTACTTTAATTCTCCAGTAGTTAGGTTTAAGACAAAATTGCAAAGAACAGGATATTCTCAACCTTGCATTTCTTACACTTCCTATTTTATCTATACCTCCCTTCCCCTGGCCACTTTCATCTATACTTCCCTGCTCCAGACAATCCAATCCTTATTGGCCTTCAACTTCTTTAAGCTCTTCCCTGCTATCAGAATCTTTGCACATGTGGTTATTTTGCCTGGCAAAGACTGGCAAACGTTTTTTGGCTGGTCCTTGGCTTTAACTCAGGGCCCAGGCACTGTCTCTGAGCTTCTTTTGCTCAAGGCTAGCACTTTAGCCACAGTACCACTTCTGGCTTTTTCTGGGTAGTTTACTGGAGATAAGAGTCTCATGGACTTTTCTGCTTGGGCTGGCTTCAAGCTGCAAACCTCAGATCTCAGCCTCCTGAGTAGCTAGGATTATAGGCATTGACCGTAGTGCCCAGCTGCAAACATTTTTTAAAGGGCCTAACAATAAGTATTTTTTACTTTATGGGCCTTATAGTCTGACTCAATTCTGCCATTGTAGAATGAAATCAGCCATAAATAATACATCAGCAAATAAGTGTGACTATATTCAATAAAACTTATTTACAAATGGAAGTACTGCGCCAGATTTGGTCCATGGGTGATATAGTTACTGCACTGTTTTAGTTACTCCTCTTCACCTGGCAAATCCCAATCTTCCTTGAGTACTCAGCGTAAGTGGTGCATCCACAAAGACAACTCAGATAAGTCTCTTCTTTGTTATAGAAAGAAAGAAAGAGAGAGAGATGAAGGAAGGAAGGAAGGAAGGAAGGAAGGAAGGAAGGAAGGAAGGAAGGAAGGAAGGAAGGAAGGAAGGAAGGAAGGAAGGAAGGAAGGAAGGAAGGAAGGGAGTGCAAGCTAAAAAGAGGATTGTTCTGGCTGAAAGAATGTATTTAACTATGACAGACATTGGCCTACAATAGAAACAGAGAACTAATAATGCTGATAAAATTTACCAGGGCTTAGGGCAGGAGAGTTACTTTTGGAGCTGTAAATTGAAAATCAAACTGATAGACAAAGAAATGTAATACCTGATGGACATAATACTCAAGATCAAAGAGTGCAGCAATCTTCTCTTCCAGGCTGGAGCTAGAACTGTTGAACTTGTTGATCAACCGTACCATGATCTGCATGTCAGTCTCAATAACAACATTCAGTTCATCAAATGCTTTCTTTAGCTCCTCAATGGGGCGGAAGAGTCGCTTTACTTCAGCCTGCCTTGCCTAAGGAAAGTAACAAAGAAGTTATGAATCTAGGAAGTGGCATTGTAGCTCAAGTGGTAGAGTGCTCGCCTCAAACTAAAGAGCACAGGAATAGCACCCAAGCCCAGAGTTCAAGCCCCACGACCAACCAAAAAAAAAAAAAAGAAGTTATGAATCTAGCCAATTGGAGACATCTCTCAAGGCTTTTATGGTCCATCATCAATGCCCAACATTAAATCACTGCTCTTCTGAAACTCCGAATCCTCTCTAATCTGTACCATCAAAAATTCTTGATACTTTCTAAGATGTCCAAGGAAAAAAGCTTTCAAAATCTACCTTGATAAGCCTCTGCTCAAATAACATTCAAGATTTTCCTAGGGCTACTTAAATTTAAGTCTGACTTCCAATATCCAGGAAGAATGGAGACATCTTGTTGGAACTGATGAGGTCAGGGAAAGTAATACAAGCCTACTTTCAACTCTAACCTCATATGGAACAAATGAGATCTACAGTAAAATAACCCACACCATGGCTCTCTAATGTTCATAATCACAGAATATCTTGATCTTGCACTAAACAATCCAGTAACATTTTAGGGAAACCTGGATATTGGAAAGTGTGGGTAAGAGCTGTCAGAACAGTAGCAATTTACCGATGAAAATTAAATCACTGTCATTACTGTCAATCTAACCACAGGTGTACAATTTGTTCAACTGTTTGAAATGGCTAAATTACTGTATGTACTATACTCAAATCTCAAACAATTTTCTCTCAATCCCTCCCCACCTCATACACATATAAAGATTTTTAAATGAAGTTATGTTAGAGGTGAATAAAAGACTTTAATTGGATATTTTATACATGTGATACTCCCGTTTTCTTCCCAATCTTAGGGAATAGTGCTTATAAAGAAAATCTGAAAGGTCATAGTGGTTTATGTATCTATATTTCAAGAAAAAATGAAAAGGTATGAATATTTATAAAAGGCAGGATGATGAGCAGTTGTTAGCTCCCCATTATAAGCACTCCATAGAAATATCCACCAAAGGCATGAATCTGTCTCTCATAAAAACTGTTTGAGCAAGAGGTGGAGATGTGGCTCAAATGGTAGAGTACCAGCCTGAGTTAAAGAGCTAAGCAAGCAAGGGTGGCCTAAGTTCAAGCCCCAGTTCCAGCCTGAAAAACAAAAAATACAAAACTGTTCCAGAAGAACAATCACCTGTCTATGGGGCACCACACCTGACTCTTCGGACTAAAACAATGTGAAATGTTCTCCTGTTAAAACAACAACAACAACAAAACAAAAAACAGGATGCTGCGCAAGGCCAGGCAAAGAGGTCTGGGAAGGCTGAGTCACTTTCTAGAGCTATGGGACAACAGGCAAGTGGGCATAATTAAAAAGCTAGTGACCCTGGCCTCACAAACATGATGAATGGTTCCTGACCCTCAAAAAGGCCTTTAAAAAAAAAAAGAGAGAGACAGAGAGAAAAAAATTTCAGCCGGGTGCTGGTGGCTCACGCCTGTAATCCTAGCTACTCAGGAGGCTGAGATCTGAGAATCACAGTTCAAAGCCAACCCAGGCAGGAAAGTCCGTGAGACTCCTATCTCCAATAAACCACCAAAAAATCGGAAGTGGCCCTGTAGCTCAAGTGGTAGAGCACTTGCCTTGAGCTGAAGAGCTGAGGGACAGCGCCCAGGCCCAGAGTTCAAACCCCACGACCGACAAAAAAAAAAAAAAATTTCAATTTGAAGTAATTATAAAGTCAAGAAATCACAAAAATAGTATAGATGTATCCTTTTTATTCATCATTCCCCAATGGGTATGTGTTTCAAAATATTAGTACAATGTCAAAACTAAGAACACAGACTAAATAGACTATTTAATCTAGTCTAAATAACCTTAGATTTGATCACCTTTTACATGTGCTCATTTGCATGTGTATCACTCCATACAGTTTTACCCAAGCTACAGATTTGTGCAACTACCAGTACAATTAAGCTGTGAAACTGTTCCCCTACCACTAAGCACCTCCCATTGCACAGCCTCTTTATAGCTGCACTTTGTCCTACTACTTTGCCATAACCATTTATTTTTCTTCATCTCTGTAATTCTGAAATTTGGAGAATATGACATAAATGGAACCACAAAATCTTTTTAGACTGTTTTTTTTGTTTTTGCTAAACATAATGTCTCTGAGATCTACCCAAGTTACTGTACATATAAATAGTTCATTTTTTATTGCAGAGTAGTATTGCATTATAGGTATAGTTTAACCTTCACCTGTTGAAGAATATCTGAGTTGTTTCCAGGTTTTGTCTGTTGTGAATTTAAAAACTGCTATGAAAAAATATGTACTGGAATTTGAACTCAGGTCCTTGCTAGGGTTCCACTTAAGCCACTCATCCAGCCCTACCCTTTTGTTGGAAGTGGAGTTGAGTGAACTTTCTTGGCTGAGCTAGCCTTGAACTGTGATCCTCCATATATCAGCCTCCTGGGATACAGGCATGAACCATTTGCTATATTTATATACAGGTGTTTTTGTTTTTTTTTTTTGGTTTCTTTTGCCAGTCCTGGGGCTTGAACTCAGGGCCTGGGATCTGTTCCTGAGCCTCTCTGTGCTCTAGGCTAGCGCTCTACCACATGAACCACAGCACCACTTCTGACTTTTTCTGTTTATGTGGTACTAAAGAATCAAACTCAGGGCTTCATGCATGCCAGGTAAGCACTCTACCACTAAGCCACATTCCCAGCTCTGTGTACAGGTTTTTGTTTAAACACAAGCTCTTACTTTTCTGGTATAAATGCCTAAGAATGAAACTTCAGGATTATATGATAAAAATATTTCTTTTAAAAGAACTATGAACTATTCAGGGTAGATAAGCCATTTTACATTCCTACTGACAATCTATGAAAAACCTAGTTTATATCTTTATGCATTCTAACAAATATATACTGATATAACCCTATAGATTTGAGTTTCTCTAATAGCTAATGATGTTAAACATTTCCTCACGGGTTTATCTGCCATCTATATATTTTCATTGATAAAATGCCAATGTACTTTGCCCATTTTTTAAAATAAGCTGTCTGTTCTTCTGAAGTTTGGGAATTCTTTATGTATTCTAGATTAAAATACTTTGTCTGAATGGGATATAGTTCAGTGTAGAGCACTTGCCTAGTATATGCAAGACCTAGTACTGCCTAAAAAATGTTTAAAATGTCCATTGTTAAAAAAACGAAAGTATGGTCAGTCACTGGTGGCTCATGACTGTAATCCTAGTTACCCAGGAGTCTGAGATTTGAGAATCGCAGTTTGAACTTGGGGCAGAAAAGTCCTTGAGACATTTATCTCCAATTAACCACCAGAAAATTGTGAGTGGCATTATGGCACAAAGTGGTAGAGCACTAGCCTTAAACAAAAAAGCTCAGGTACGGCATCCAGGCCCTGAGTTCAACCCCATGACCACCACCAACAAGAAGAAAAAAGTATTTAAAACATCATGGCTTACATACCAACTTTGCTAAAATCCAAAATCATTACATAAAGCCTGTAGTTACTTATCACATGGCTTCCTGGCTTCTTTCAAAGCCTTCTAGTGACTGGTCATTCTGCATCTATTATTCAGTTCACACATAGATGCAATATACATAGTTATATGGCCTCTTCCTATCTCAACAATGAACCCATGGAATATTTCATGAAAATAAATAACTCAAAGAAAATTGGCCAGCAAAAATGAATGGGATAATAAGAAAATAAATAATGGAAACTCAGGCATAAAATCCAAGTTGAACATACATAGAATTGGGACAGATTTGGAGATGCTAATACTGCTGCTGTTTGATAAACTAGAAGTACAGCCAAAGGAACATAGAAAATACAAAGTCTTAAACATAAATTAACAAAGTGATAGAAAGGATGAAGTGACACTGGCAAAAAAAAAAAGTAGTATCTTCACATTAAAGAGACTGGGAAATTTCACAACACAGAAGACACAATAGGTAGAATGCTGAGAGCTCACCCATACTTAGTATTTGCTAAGACATAGAAAAGATGTTTATTCCATGTCATATTATACAATGAAAACCTAAGCAATGTTCAAACTTCTCTTTGATAAGTTTTTTTTACAAAGAAAAACTTTTAATCTTCATGTTTCTAGAGTTTAAAATTACAGTGTACTAAGCAAATATCAGTATTGTTACTTTTTCATTTCTGTATATATTTGTAACTGACAGCAGTGTAATTTTTTTAGTGCTTGAGAAAACTGTAAAGGTCATAGAACAATATTTTTTCTATTGATTATTAAGACTGTTGTTCATAGTTTCAGCACAGTCATTTTTACAAGTCCATGTGAAAACATAAAGTGAGGACTGCTGGACCACAGTAGTTTCTCTGTCCATCGACTTTGTAGGACCTTTCATAAAGTGAAAGCTTTTAATTTCATGAAATGCAATTCATCATTTTTAAAAATAGTGTGCTTTGTTTATTTTTAATTTATCTGATTTATTGGTACTGGGGTCTTACACTTTTTTTTGTAGTGCTGGGATTTAACACAGCGCCTTGTGCATGCTAGGCAAGTGCTCTACAATCAGGCCATATCCTTGGTTTTTTGAGACAAGACCATGAACTTGAAATTCCACCTACCCTCTTGAGTGCTGGAATTACAACATCTGCTGACTGATAAGACTGTATATTTTTATTTAGCTCAATGTACTTTTCTTTAACTTCCCCCAAGATTTCTTCTTTGTTCATCTTCTGTTCATTTCATTCTCGGACTTTATAATTTAGTCTTCAGTGAAACTTATTCCTGTCATAAGCATTCTACTGTTGAATGAATTCAGTCACTTTTAAAATTATAGTTATTGCACTTTCAGTTCTGTAATCCCATTTTATCTGCAATATTCCTTTCCAGGGCCTTGTGGTCAACCATGACACAAAAATATTTAAATGGGAATTTCTAGAAATAAACAATTTGTAAGTTGTAAGTTACACATTGTTCTGAAATTTCCTAATAACCTG